TTCGTCGCTTGTCATCTCACCAAGTTCCCCAAAAGCACCTTGAGCCATACTGCTTCTTTGGTTGCTTCGGAAAGCGCCATGTATTCTGCTTCTGTTGAAGATAGCGCGACCGTCCGTTGTTTCTGGCTTTTCCAGCTGATGCATCCTCCGCTCATCATGAACACATAGCCGCTTGTACTTCGTCTTGACTCAATGTCGCCGGCCCAGTCTGCGTCGGTGTACCCGCAGATACGGCTTCCTTCTTGACATGTAAACTCAAGACCATGGTTGGGCGTTGCTTGCAGGTATCTCAGCACACGCTTCAAAGCTTGCCAGTGAGTCGGGCATGGGTCGGACGAGAACTGGGATAATGATCCCACTGCAGCAGCTAGATCCGGACGTGTGGCGACCATGAGATACATGATGCCTCCGACAGCACTTCGATATGGCACGTTGCACATGGTGTCTTCGTGCTTGCATTCTTGTTCACACATGTTCTTGGTTAGCTTCAGGCCGGGATCTTGAGGCGTCTTCACTGGCTTGCTGTTATCCATTCCGGAACTTGGTTAACACGGACTTGAGAAACTTGGTTTGTTGCACAGTCACCATTCCCGTCTTACGGTCGTTCTTGATCTCCATGCCGAGAAAGTAATCGAGCTCACCGAGATCCGTCATTTCGAAGCGTTTGCTCAGCGCCATCTTGGTCGACTTGAGGAGTTCGTTGTTGCTGCTGGCCAGGATGAGATCATCGACGTAGAGCACCACGAGAATCATGTCTTGGTCGTCTCGCTTGATGTAGATGCAGTGGTCCGATTCGCACTTCTTGAATCCCATCTTGATCATGAACCCATCGATTGTTTGATTCCACATGCGAGGCGATTGCTTCGCCGTAGAGTGATCTCTTTAGCTTGCACACATAGTCCGGCTGTGTTGCATCCAGGTTATCCGTCCGGCTGGTCCATGTAGATGTCTTCGTTGAGGGAGCCGTTAAGAAACGCTGTCTTGACGTCCATCTGATGTAGCATTAGGCCGTACTTAGCCGCCATACTGAGCACCACACGAATCGATGTGAACTTGGCCACCGGTGCGAAAGTTTCTTCATAGTCAACTCCGAATTTCTGTGAGAATCCTTTGGCCACAAGTCTTGCCTTGAAACGTTCAACTTCGCCATCTTGATTCTCCTTTACACGAAAAACCCATCGGCACCCGATGGCCTTGCGACCTTTCGGAAGAGGCACGATTTCCCACGTGTCGTTTCTCTGAAGCGAGTCGAACTCCGAGTCACACGCTTCTTTCCACTTGCCGGAGTCGCTTGATTCCATCGCCGACTTGAATGTAGTCGGCGTTTCCCCACTGAATCAACGATGTAGGCTGCTTCAAAATCCATTGCAGCCGCTGACACATGCTCAAGCGACGGACCTCTGTATGTTCTTCGCTTGGGACTTGGAATGACGGTAGCTTTCTCAAGTGATTGAGTGCGCGTGTGTCTCTTGATGTTGCTCTTCGAAGACCTGGTGTCTTCGTTGTCATCGTCGCTCGAGTCCATGTCGTCGTCAGTTTTACCTTCTTCTTTTTCTTCGTCCTCATCATGATCATCAAACTCAACGACACTTGACTCATCGTTGTAGTTGCGCGTACCTTCATCAAACTTGTCTTCCATGAATGTGGCATCGCGACTGATCTTGATCGCTCCTGTTGACACTTCCTCAAATCGATATGACTTCTGGTGTTCGGCGTATCCCAGGAAACGACAGAGTGATGACTTGGAGTCGAACTTCGCGCGTTTGTCTTGAGGCACTTGAACATACGCGTGGCATCCAAACACTTTAAGGTTGGCCAGAATCGGTTTCTTCATCGTCCACACTTGATATGGAGACTTGTCTTGGTGAATGGCACGTGTTGGACAGCGGTTTCGGAAGAAACATCGCCGTCATCACTGCTTCACCCCAGTAGCTCTTTCCCAGTCCAGCGTGTTCCATCATGCAACGCGCACACTCGACCAGCGTGCGATTCATTCTCTCAGCTACTCCGTTTAGCTGAGGAGTATATGGGGGTGTGAACCTTTGTTGTATTCCCCGTTCCGCGCAGAATCGTGCCAGCTTGTCGGACTTGTATTCACCCCCATTGTCGCTTTGAAGGTACTTCACGCGCTTTCCGGTTTGCGTTTCGGCCATCTCAGCGTATTCCATGAACTTCGCCGCAACTTCAGATTTGCTCTTGAGCAGATAGACGACACAGTATCTTGACTTGTCATCAATGAATGTCACGAAGTACCGTTTTCCACTGAAAGTTGCCATCGACATCGGTCCGCATACGTCGCTGTGAATCACTTCGAGGAGTTTGGAGGTGCGAGCTGTAGTGTTTGATTGGAAGCGCACTCGAGTCTGTTTTCCCAGAGCACAACCTTCACACACGTCCCACTTCTTCACCGAAGATATGTCGATGCCAATTCCAATGTTCTTCGTCACGATGCAATTGAGTCCATCGTGACCTATGTGGCCAAGCCGAAGGTGCCAGAGGTACGACTTGGTGCCCCCTTGACATCCCGACGACTTGGCTGCATTTGCTTGTTCCGGCGCCACTGGAGTCATTTGCAGCTTGAACAGTCCTTTACCTTCACGGGCACCAATTTTCCACTTGGTCCCTTTCGCTTCTCCATAGCACCCATCCTTCGTGAACGTCACTGGGCCGACATCCTTGGTGAAGCGGCCGACCGAGAACAGGTTTCTGGATAGCTTTGGGATGTGCCACACGTTTGTGAGCACACCTTTCTTCATCCCTTGGGGTGTCTTCATCGACATGACAATGTCCCCACTGCCGATTGCTTGGACGATTCCATCATCCGCGAGATGGACATCCACAGCGTCAAACCCCTTGTAGTTCCGCATGAACTTCTTGGAGCACGTCATGTGCTGCGTCGCCCCGGAGTCGACCAGCCAGATGTCGCTCGATTTCGCAGATGTCGTTTCACCGATCGAAAAGAGGTAGTCGCCCGAGTCTTCTTCTTGAGCGACGTTTGCACGTTGTGATCGATAGCGGTCGCCGCTGTCTTGAGCACGCTGTGGCCGGTGTCTCTCCGTGTTTTCTTGGATGCGCGAGGGGCACTCCGCCATCCAGTGACCAATCTTTCCGCAATTATGGCACGGCCAGGACTTCTTCACTGGTCTCCCTTTGCGCTGATTGTCCCTTGTGATGAACGCTTGACCTTGCGAAGCTTCATCACCTTTACTTCCTTGCTCCTTCCGCTTCATTTCTTCATGAAGCAGTCGAGACGTCACGAGCTCCCAGCTAAGAGTGTCTGAGCGCGACTCCAAAGCTGTGATCAAGAATTGATACGAGTCACTCAGGCTGCCGAGGAGTGTGATCACCAGATCGTCCTCGCAGACTGGAGCCCCCACCGCTTCTAGCTGTTCCGCCAGCGTCTTGAGCTTGTTGATGTGTTCGAGCACATCGTCGCCTTCTTCCATCATTGTCGTGAAGAAGCGACGGCGCAAGAACAGCTTGTTGGCAAGACTCTTCTTCTCGAAGTGGTCTTCCAACCTTGACCATGCGTCGCATGCACCACTTGCCGACCGGACCAACGGTAGCTGGGAATCTTCCATGGCTAGACAGATCACTGCCATCGCCTTTCTTGACTTCCTCTTGTACGTCGCTTGGTCCAACTGAGTCTCGCACTGTTCCGCCTTGATCTCACCGCTGACGACCTCCCATAGGTCCCGTTCCTCCAGCACCATCTGCATCTTGAACTTCCAGGCGTGGAAGTTAGTTCCATCGAACTTGGAGATGCGGAGGGAGGAGGCGTCCATGGCAGCTAAGCTTGAATTGTTGGCGGTTTCAGAGTCTGACGAACTTGGGCTCATAACCTGATGAACTTTAGACTTCTTGGTCCGAGTGCAAAACGCAAAGTAAATATATATTTATAATAGGTACTTAGTTCGCAACTTTGAATACTACCTCTAAGCCTATTATTCGCAGTGACGTCATCCACTGACGTCACCCACTGACGTCACCCACTGACGTCATGCAATGACGTCATCCAGTGACGTCATTTCCTGACTTCGCCCTTACTGGTACATACCGGTACCCACCGGTATAGCGAAGCTTGGTCTTCCACTTGCTTCAACACTTGACGCAGCTTGACGAGGTGTCTTCTTCACAGCTGCTGTCTTTTCAACATGGTCAAGTATGTGACGCTGCGAATGGTCATCGCCATTACCAAGCACTTTGGATGGCCCCTCGACCAGCTCGATGTGGTGACTGCGTTCCTGTATGGAGTGATGAAGGAGAAGGTGTTCTGCGCTGTTCCGGAAGGCGTCAAGATGGAAGGTGATTTCGACTGTCTCGAGCTGATCAAGGTGATCTACGGTCTCAAGCAAGCCTCGCGTGTTTGGAACGAGACCTTCGACGAGTTCATACGCTCGATTGGTTTTCAAGCGTCGGGATTCGATCCATGTCTCTACATCATGACTTCGGAAGGCCATTGTGTTTTTGTGCTGGTCTACGTGGACGATGTCTTGGTGGCTGGAAGTTCGCTCGAGATGATTGCGCGCACCAAGAACGACCTCAAGACACGCTTCGAGATGACGGACAGCGGCAAGTGTGCCTTTGTTCTTGGGATCGAGTTATTGGACGGTGAAGATGGCAGCGTGACTATGTGTCAGCGCCGTTATGTCGACGATGTCCTCAAGCGCTTTGGAATGGATGAGTGCAAGGCTGTGGCAAGTCCGGTGGACGTCAGCTCTCGACTGGTTCCGAGCAACTCTGCAAGCAAGGTGGATGTCCCATTCCGTGAAGCAGTGGGTGCTTTGATGCATCTGACGACTGCAACGCGACCGGACATCGCCTATGCTGTAAGCTTTGTGTCACGGTTCATGGAGAAACCCCAAGAAGAACACTGGGTTGCAGTCAAGCGCATCTTCCGATACCTACAAGGCACCAAGATGCATGGAATCTGCTACAAGCCAAGTGCGAAGATCGACTTTCGTGGCTATTCAGATGCAGACTGGGCCGGTGACCTTGCTGATCGCAAATCGACGTCCGGCTACGTCTTCATGCTATTGGGTGCTCCGGTGAGTTGGGGCAGCAAGAAACAGCCAAGTGTGTCACTGTCTACAAGCGAAGCGGAGTACATCGCGCTCAGCCTGGCGATCCAAGAAGGCAAGTGGATCAATCGCTTGCTGTGCGAGATCATGGCGGCTGCAAACGAAGAAGGACCCGAGCTCGTCATCCGTGAAGACAATCAATCGTGCATCAAGATGACGATAATCCTGTCAACTATGGCCGTGCCAAGCACGTTGACATCAAGTACCATCAAAACCGTGATGAAGTCAAGCGCGGCGAAGTGAAGCTTGAATACTGCGAGACGACGTTGATGTTGGCGGACATCATGACTAAGGCACTGCACGGACCGCGTCACAAGGACTTGACGGCGGCGCTTGGCATCCGTGCGTGTTCGGATTGAGGGGGCGTATTGAGGGTTACCGGTACAATCCGAACCTAGCGCGTAGTTCTTACGAGATAGTTTTTACATCGGTAATTACCTCAGAGATGATTAGACGCGTAGGATGATTGGACGCGTGTAAATCAGGTTGATTAGATGCACCATGTGATTGGATGCAGTCTAGGGTAGGCAGAAGTTAAGACCTATAAATCAATCACTTTCGAATCCTCCCTCAAGTGAGCAAGTGTTCTCTGCTTCGTTCTCTCCGGTCTCTCCGCTTCGCTTTCTCTTCGCCTCGCGCTCAAGTTGCAACAGGTTATGAGCCCAAGCGCCATGTCGTCCAACAACACCTCGGCCAGTGTCTCCATCGATAAGTTCGATGGGGACAACTACTCAACCTGGTGTCGCTACATGCGCGGCGTGTTTCTGACGAAGTCAGTCTGGTACGTCGTGAACCGCGAAACGTCTCCAACCTTCACCGACACGCGAGCTTCCGACGAGTACGTCAAGGCGAGCAACATCGCGTTCGGGTTGATGTTGCTCCACATGGACGCCGACTACCACCATGTGGTCGACAACTGTGAAGAAGCATGAACAGCGTGGTCGCGGTTGAAGATTCTCTATGGTGGGTCGCAGAAGGCGGGACGCATCTACCTCAAGCGCCAGCTGTTCAGCATCAAGATGGCGGAAGGTGCCAACGTCTTGCACCATTGCAACGAAGTCTTGAACATCGGCGCCAAGCTCAGCAGCATCGGTGCCAAGATGGAAGACGAAGACATTGCGATCTGCTTGCTGCTCAGTCTCCCGAAGAGTTTCGAGAACGTGGTTCTGAACTTGGAGATGAGCAATGCAGAGCTGCGCACGCAAGATGTGGTCAAGGTGCTGACTAACGAGCACATCAAGCGACAAGGCGAGAAGATGACAACGGCAACGACAACGGTGAAGACTGAAGATGCGACAAAGGCATTCAGTACCGAGCGCAAGCCCTACCAATGCACATACTGCGGCAAGGTGGGGCACACGGCAGAGCGTTGCTGGACGAAGCAAAAGGATGAAAGTCGAGGAGCCCAACGCGGCGGCAATGGTCGTGGACGCGGGGCAAACAATGTCCAGTGGCGACATTATGATGAAGGCAACAGCTACGATCGAGTGGCGTTTGCAGTTTCGTTCGAATGCGGAGTTTCGACGAACAAGAATGGACCAGGAATGTGGGCCGTTGACAGCGGGGCAACACATCACATCTGCCACGACAAGTTCAAGTTTGCAAGCTTGGTCGAAGGCAATGATGGCGAGATCCTGGTGGCTGATGGCAACAAGGCGGCCATCAAAGGTGTGGGGACCATCGTGGAAAAGGTGATTCTGCCAAACGGGGAAGAGCGCGAGATCGAGATCAAGAACGCGCTCTATGTGCCCAGCATGAGCAAAAATCTACTCTCGGTGCCGCAGATTAACAAGCACGGCAACTTCCAAGTGGTGTTTGACGGGGATACGATGTACGTCGCTCGCAAGGATTCCAATCAAGTGGTGGCAGCTGCGGATCTTGTAGACGGACTCTACTGGCTTCGCACGACGCAGCGATCGGCCAATGCGACATCACTCAGCAACGCTGTTGATCTACATGCGCGAATGGGCCATGCTCCAGTCGACGTGCTTCGCAGGATGGTGACAAGCCACATGATCAAGGACGCTCACATCCCTTCCAAGCCGAATGGATCAAGTGTGTGTCGAGGATGCCAAGAAGGGAAGATGGTCCAAAAACCATTCCCGAGCAACCGTGACAAGCGCACCTACAACACCTTCGAGATGCTCCACTTCGACATCTGCGGACCCATGGAAGAAAAATCTCTGGGTGGCAGCAAGTATCTGCTGCTGATCGTGGATGAAGCCAGCGGATGCATGAAGGGTTTTTGTCTGCATTCCAAGTCAGAGAGCGAAGAGTGCATCAAGAAGTACATCACGATGATACAGACGCAGTTCAACAAGAAGGTCAAGTTTGTGCGACAGGATGGAGCCCGCGAGTTTGCGACGAACTCGCTTCAAGATTTCTACGAAGTCGAAGGCATCGAGCAACAAACCACGGTGCCATACGCACATCAAGCCAATGGAACTGCTGAACGCGCGATTCGAACTATCGTCACCATCGGTCGTAGCATGCTCCATCATGCCAAGTTGGACAAGTGCTTCTGGGCTGAAGCGGCAATGACGGCCGTCTATGTGAAGAACCGTTTGCCGTCACCCAAGATTCCACACAAGACACCGTTCGAGATTGTCTACAATTCTAAGCCAAGTGTCAAGCACATGCGCGTTTTTGGGTGCCAAGCATACATCTTGACCCCGAAGGAGAAACGACTCAAGTGGGATCCCAAGGCCCGGGCTGGATTGTTTTTGGGCTACGAAGAAGTGTCCAAGGCGTATCGAGTTTACGACATCGAAGCGGGGCAGGTGATGATAAGTCGCGATGTCAACTTCGATGAGTCGGCCTTTGGACTGTCGATGCTGATTTCCGATGACGATGTTGATGGCCTGGACTTCGAATCGATCGATCTTGATGATGAAGAACCGCGTCCGAGACACTTCAAACAAACAGGAAAGCGCAAGGCCCAACCCAGTCACGACAATGACGACACAAGCATGCCCCGAGCAGTGCGCCAACGACCCGGATTGGAAGAGTCAAGTGCGCCGGATGACCTCTCTTCACGTCGAGCCAACGAAGATGAAGAAAGGAAGTCGGAGGAACAACATGACACACCGACTTCCTCCGCGTTTTGGCATGCGAGTGCAAACGCCGTTGAAGCAGCGGTCGATTTTTCGGAGCCGTCGACATTTGAAGAAGCAGTGTCTGGCCCGGACCAAGTACACTGGCGCAAGGCAATTGATGCGGAGCTCGATTCGATGAAGCTTCGCGGTGTCTTTCGTGCGGCCAAGTTACCCAACGGACAAAGCGCCATCGGCACAAAGTGGGTCTTCAAGATCAAGCGCAAGGCGGATGGGTCAATCGAGAAATACAAGGCACGACTTGTGGCCAAGGGTTTTCGCCAAAAGTATGGCATCGACTACACGGAGACGTTCTCGCCCGTGGTCAAGTATGTGACGCTGCGAATGGTCATCGCCATTACCAAGCACTTTGGATGGCCCCTCGACCAGCTCGATGTGGTGACTGCGTTCCTGTATGGAGTGATGAAGGAGAAGGTGTTCTGCGCTGTTCCGGAAGGCGTCAAGATGGAAGGTGATTTCGACTGTCTCGAGCTGATCAAGGTGATCTACGGTCTCAAGCAAGCCTCGCGTGTTTGGAACGAGACCTTCGACGAGTTCATACGCTCGATTGGTTTTCAAGCGTCGGGATTCGATCCATGTCTCTACATCATGACTTCGGAAGGCCATTGTGTTTTTGTGCTGGTCTACGTGGACGATGTCTTGGTGGCTGGAAGTTCGCTCGAGATGATTGCGCGCACCAAGAACGACCTCAAGACACGCTTCGAGATGACGGACAGCGGCAAGTGTGCCTTTGTTCTTGGGATCGAGTTATTGGACGGTGAAGATGGCAGCGTGACTATGTGTCAGCGCCGTTATGTCGACGATGTCCTCAAGCGCTTTGGAATGGATGAGTGCAAGGCTGTGGCAAGTCCGGTGGACGTCAGCTCTCGACTGATTCCGAGCAACTCTGCAAGCAAGGTGGATGTCCCATTCCGTGAAGCAGTGGGTGCTTTGATGCATCTGACGACTGCAACGCGACCGGACATCGCCTATGCTGTAAGCTTTGTGTCACGGTTCATGGAGAAACCCCAAGAAGAACACTGGGTTGCAGTCAAGCGCATCTTCCGATACCTACAAGGCACCAAGATGCATGGAATCTGCTACAAGCCAAGTGCGAAGATCGACTTTCGTGCTATTCAGATGCAGACTGGGCCGGTGACCTTGCTGATCGCAAATCGACGTCCGGCTACGTCTTCATGCTATTGGGTGCTCCGGTGAGTTGGGGCAGCAAGAAACAGCCAAGTGTGTCACTGTCTACAAGCGAAGCGGAGTACATCGCGCTCAGCCTGGCGATCCAAGAAGGCAAGTGGATCAATCGCTTGCTGTGCGAGATCATGGCGGCTGCAAACGAAGAAGGACCCGAGCTTGTCATCCGTGAAGACAACCAGTCGTGCATCAAGATGACGAAGAATCCGGTCAACCACGGCCGCGCTAAACACATCGACATCAAGTACCATCACATCCGTGATGAAGTCAAGCGCGGCGAAGTGAAGCTTGAATACTGCGAGACGACGTTGATGTTGGCGGACATCATGACGAAGGGACTTCACGGACCGCGTCACAAGGACTTGACGGCGGCGCTTGGCATCCGTGCGTGTTCGGATTGAGGGGGCGTATTGAGGGTTACCGGTACAATCCGAACCTAGCGCGTTGTTCTTACGAGATAGTTTTTACATCGGTAATTACCTCAGAGATGATTAGACGCGTAGGATGATTGGACGCGTGTAAATCAGGTTGATCAGATGCACCATGTGATTGGATGCAGTCTAGGGTAGGCAGAAGTTAAGACCTATAAATCAATCACTTTCGAATCCTCCCTCAAGTGAGCAAGTGTTCTCTGCTTCGTTCTCTCCGGTCTCTCCGCTTCGTTTTCTCTTCGCCTCGCGCTCAAGTTACAACGCAACGTTCTCATAGCTCTTGGGGAGACTGCGCAACAAGCGGATCGCCACGTCTTTGTCCTCCATCTTAGCGCCGATGCTGCTGAACTTAGCGCTGATGTTGAGAACGTTGTTGCAATGATGCATGACATTGCCGCCTTCCTCCATCTCCATGCTGAACAGCTGGCGCTTCAAGAAGGTCCGTCCCGCCTTCTGAGATCCGCCGTAGAGAGTCTTCAACCGTGCCCACGCAACCCACGCTTCTTTACACTCATCAACCACGTGATGGTAATCCGCGCTCATGTGAGGCAGCATCAAGCCGATCGCAATGTTGTTCGTCTTGACATACTCGTCACTAGCGCGAGGATCAGCGAAGGCGGGGGTGGTCTCCCGGATGACTACGTACCACGTCGACTTGGTCAGGAACACGCCGCGCATGTAGCGGCTCCACGTCGCATATTTTTTACCATCGAATTTGTCGATGCAGATCTTGGTGGCGGAATCTTGAGCAGAGGACATCGCGCTTAGGCTTATAACCTGTTAAAGTCTGAAGAGCACTTGATGAAAGAACCGAAGCTTGAAGAAACGAAAGAAGTCTGCACTGCAAAGTGTAGACGACTTACGACGGAGAAGGAAATCTTTGGAAGTGAATTTATTTCTGGGTTGTTTAAGCTACCTGATTGATCCGTGTCCTGATTCATGCATTTTGCACATTTAAATCATAAATCATAGAACATGTAGGTCATCCAATCTTCCTATGCGTCTAATCATTGGTAAGCGCTCACCGTAATTACGCGAGACCGACTTGGACAGGTTTACGGTTTACACGGTATCTGATAATAGTACCTTAACCGTCAACCCACGATACGCCCCCTCAATGCGAACACGCGTGTATGCCAAGCGCTGCAGTCAATTCCCTGTGACGCGGTCCTGGCAGTCCCTTTGTCATGATGTCCGCCATCATCATCGCAGTCTCACCGTACTCCAACGTATCATCACCACGCTTGACTTCATCGCGACTGTGGTGGTACTTGGTGTTGACGTGCTTGGCCCGACCATGGTTCACAGGATTCTTCGTCATCTTGATGCACGATTAATTGTCTTCCATGATCTTGAGCTCGGGTCTGGGCTTGTCCTCTGCAGCATTCAGAATCTCGCATAATAGGCGATGCACCCACTTGCCTTCTTTAATTGCCAGACTTAGCGCGACGTACTCTGCTTCGCTTGTCGATAGCGATACACTTGATTGCTTCTTGCTTTTCCAGCTTATCGGAGCACCCATCAGGATAGACGCACATTCTGAAGTCGACTTGCGGTCTTCATGATCACTGGGCTAGTCTGCATCCGAGTCGCCACATAAATCCACCTTGTCGTCGGGTTTAACGAAGATGCCGTGTGACTTGGTTTCTTGTAGATAACGAAGAATGCGCTTGACTGCCATCCAATGCTCGACTTGGGGTTCTCCATGGAACGCGAAACGTAGCCCACAACAAAAGCAATGTCCGGTCTTGTCGCGGTCATTAAGTGCATCAAAGCACCTACTGCTTCACGAGACGGAGCGTTGTTCTTGGATGCTGCGTCGCTTGGTGTGAGTCGAGAACTGATATCCGTTGGACTGATGACGGCCTTGCAATCACTCATGCCAAAACGCTTGAGAACATCGTCCACGTATCGTCGCTGACACATTGTCACACTACCGTCGATGTTGTTCACCAGCTCGATGCCCAATACGAACGCGCACTTGCCGCTGTCAGTCATATCGAAACGCCTCTTCAAGTCACTCTCGGTGCGCACAATTACCTCAGTCGAACTGCCCGTTGCCAGCACATCATCGACGAGACCAAAAACAGCACGCACTTTCCGCTTGCGACCTTGAGATAGAGGCATGGGTCGAAGTCGGACTGTTGAAATACAATCGAGTAAACAAAGTCATAGAAAGTCTCGTTCCATACCCGCAATGCTTGTTTCAGTCCGTAGATCGCCTTCACCAATTCGATGCAGTCAAAGTCTTCATCACTGTCGACACCTGCTGGGATCGCGCAGAACACCTTTTTTCATCTTTCCGTACAAGAAGGCTTTCACCATGTCCAGTTAGTCCAGTGACCATTTTGTTGTAACTTGAGCGCGAGGCGAAGAGAAAACGAAGCGGAGAGACCGGAGAGAACGAAGCAGAGAACACTTGCTCACTTGAGGGAGGATTCGAAAGTGATTGATTTATAGGTCTTAACTTCTGCCTACCCTAGACTGCATCCAATCACATGGTGCATCTAATCAACCTGATTTACACGCGTCCAATCATCCTACGCGTCTAATCATCTCTGAGGTAATTACCGATGTAAAAACTATCTCGTAAGAACTACGCGCTAGGTTCGGATTGTACCGGTAACCCTCAATACGCCCCCTCAATCCGAACACGCACGGATGCCAAGCGCCGCCGTCAAGTCCTTGTGACGCGGTCCGTGAAGTCCCTTCGTCATGATGTCCGCCAACATCAACGTCGTCTCGCAGTATTCAAGCTTCACTTCGCCGCGCTTGACTTCATCACGGATGTGATGGTACTTGATGTCGATGTGTTTAGCGCGGCCGTGGTTGACCGGATTCTTCGTCATCTTGATGCACGACTGGTTGTCTTCACGGATGACGAGCTCGGGTCCTTCTTCGTTTGCAGCCGCCATGATCTCGCACAGCAAGCGATTGATCCACTTGCCTTCTTGGATCGCCAGGCTGAGCGCGATGTACTCCGCTTCGCTTGTAGACAGCGACACACTTGGCTGTTTCTTGCTGCCCCAACTCACCGGAGCACCCAATAGCATGAAGACGTAGCCGGACGTCGATTTGCGATCAGCAAGGTCACCGGCCCAGTCTGCATCTGAATAGCCACGAAAGTCGATCTTCGCACTTGGCTTGTAGCAGATTCCATGCATCTTGGTGCCTTGTAGGTAGCGGAAGATGCGCTTGACTGCAACCCAGTGTTCTTCTTGGGGTTTCTTCATGAACCGTGACACAAAGCTTACAGCATAGGCGATGTCCGGTCGCGTTGCAGTCGTCAGATGCATCAAAGCACCCACTGCTTCACGGAATGGGACATCCACCTTGCTTGCAGAGTTGCTTGGAACCAGTCGAGAGCTGACGTCCACCGGACTTGCCACAGCCTTGCACTCATCCATTCCAAAGCGCTTGAGGACATCGTCGACATAACGGCGCTGACACATAGTCACGCTGCCATCTTCACCGTCCAATAACTCGATCCCAAGAACAAAGGCACACTTGCCGCTGTCCGTCATCTCGAAGCGTGTCTTGAGGTCGTTCTTGGTGCGCGCAATCATCTCGAGCGAGCTTCCAGTCACCAAGACATCGTCCACGTAGACCAGCACAAAAACACAATGGCCTTCCGAAGTCATGATGTAGAGACATGGATCGAATCCCGACGCTTGAAAACCAATCGAGCGTATGAACTCGTCGAAGGTCTCGTTCCAAACACGCGAGGCTTGCTTGAGACCGTAGATCGCCTTGATCAGCTCGAGACAGTCGAAATCACCTTCCATCTTGACGCCTTCCGGAACAGCGCAGAACACCTTCTCCTTCATCACTCCATACAGGAACGCAGTCACCACATCGAGCTGGTCGAGGGGCCATCCAAAGTGCTTGGTAATGGCGATGACCATTCGCAGCGTCACATACTTGACCACGGGCGAGAACGTCTCCGTGTAGTCGATGCCATACTTTTGGCGAAAACCCTTGGCCACAAGTCGTGCCTTGTATTTCTCGATCGACCCATCCGCCTTGCGCTTGATCTTGAAGACCCACTTTGTGCCAATGGCGCTTTGTCCGTTGGGTAACTTGGCCGCACGAAAGACACCGCGAAGCTTCATCGAATCGAGCTCCGCATCAATTGCCTTGCGCCAGTGTACTTGGTCCGGGCCAGACACTGCTTCTTCAAATGTCGACGGCTCCGAAAAATCGACCGCTGCTTCGACGGCGTTTGCACTCGCATGCCAAAACGCGGAGGAAGTCGGTGTGTCATGTTGTTCCTCCGACTTCCTTTCTTCATCTTCGTTGGCTCGACGTGAAGAGAGGTCATCCGGCGCACTTGACTCTTCCAATCCGGGTCGTTGGCGCACTGCTCGGGGCATGCTTGCGTCGTCATTGTCGTGACTGGGTTGGGCCTTGCGCTTTCCTGTTTGTTTGAAGTGTCTCGGACGCGGTTCTTCATCATCAAGATCGATCGATTCGAAGTCCAGGCCATCAACATCGTCATCGGAAATCAGCATCGACATTCCAAAGGCCGACTCATCGAAGTTGACATCGCGACTTATCATCACCTGCCCCGCTTCGATGTCGTAAACTCGATACGCCTTGGACACTTCTTCGTAGCCCAAAAACAATCCAGCCCGGGCCTTGGGATCCCACTTGAGTCGTTTCTCCTTCGGGGTCAAGATGTATGCTTGGCACCCAAAAACGCGCATGTGCTTGACACTTGGCTTAGAACTGTAGACAATCTCGAACGGTGTCTTGTGTGGAATCTTGGGTGACGGCAAACGGTTCTTCACATAGACGGCCGTCATTGCCGCTTCAGCCCAGAAGCACTTGTCCAACTTGGCATGATGGAGCATGCTACGACCGATGGTGACAATAGTTCGAATCGCGCGTTCAGCAGTTCCATTGGCTTGATGTGCGTATGGCACCGTGGTTTGTTGCTCGATGCCTTCGACTTCGTAGAAATCTTGAAGCGAGTTCGTCGCAAACTCGCGGGCTCCATCGTGTCGCACAAATTTGACCTTCTTGTTGAACTGCGTCTGTATCATCGTGATGTACTTCTTGATGCACTCTTCGTTCTCTGACTTGTAATGCAGACAAAAACCCTTCATGCATCCGCTGGCTTCATCCACGATCAGCAGCAGATACTTGCTGCCACCCAGAGATTTTTCTTCCATGGGTCCGCAGATGTCGAAGTGGAGCATCTCGAAGGTGTTGTAGGTGCGCTTGTCACGGTTGCTCGGGAATGGTTTTTGGACCATCTTCCCTTCTTGGCATCCTCGACACACACTTGATCCATTCGGCTTGGAAGGGATGTGAGCGTCCTTGATCATGTGGCTTGTCACCATCCTGCGAAGCACGTCGACTGGAGCATGGCCCATTCGCGCATGTAGATCAACAGCGTTGCTGAGTGATGTTGCATTGGCCGATCGCTGCGTCGTGCGAAGCCAGTAGAGTCCGTCTACAAGATCCGCAGCTGCCACCACTTGATTGGAATCCTTGCGAGCGACGTACATCGTATCCCCGTCAAACACCACTGGAAGTTGCCGTGCTTGTTAATCTGCGGCACCGAGAGCAGATTTTTGCTCATGCTGGGCACATAGAGCGCGTTCTTGATCTCGATCTCGCGCTCTTCCCCGTTTGGCAGAATCACCTTTTCCACGATGGTCCCCACACCTTTGATGGCCGCCTTGTTGCCATCAGCCACCAGGATCTCGCCATCATTGCCTTCGACCAAGCTTGCAAACTTGAACTTGTCGTGGCAGATGTGATGTGTTGCCCCGCTGTCAACGGCCCACATTCCTGGTCCATTCTTGTTCGTTGAAACTCCGCATTCGAACGAAACTGCAAACGCCACTCGATCGTAGCTGTTGCCTTCATCATAATGTCGCCACTGGACATTGTTTGCCCCGCGTCCACGACCATTGCCGCCGCGTTGGGCTCCTCGACCTTCGTTCTTCTGCTTCGTCCAGCAACGCTCTGCCGTGTGCCCCACCTTGCCGCAGTATGTGCATTGGTAGGGCTTGCGCTCGGTACTGAATGCCTTTGTCGCATCTTCAGTCTTCACCGTTGTCGTTGCCGTTGTCATCTTCTCGCCTTGTCGCTTGATGTGCTCGTTAGTCAGCACCTTGACCACATCTTGCGTGCGCAGCTCTGCATTGCTCATCTCCAAGTTCAGAACCACGTTCTCGAAACTCTTCGGGAGACTGAGCAGCAAGCAGATCGCAATGTCTTCGTCTTCCATCTTGGCACCGATGCTGCTGAGCTTGGCGCCGATGTTCAAGACTTCGTTGCAATGGTGCAAGACGTTGGCACCTTCCGCCATCTTGATGCTGAACAGCTGGCGCTTGAGGTAGATGCGTCCCGCCTTCTGCGACCCACCATAGAGCATCTTCAACCGCGACCACGCTGTCCATGCTTCTTCACAGTTGTCGACCACATGGTGGTAGTCGGCGTCCATGTGGAGCAACATCAACCCGAACGCGATGTTGCTCGCCTTGACGTACTCGTCGGAAGCTCGCGTGTCGGTGAAGGTTGGAGACGTTTCGCGGTTCACGACGTACCAGACTGACTTCGTCAGAAACACGCCGCGCATGTAGCGACACCAGGTTGAGTAGTTGTCCCCATCGAACTTATCGATGGAGACACTGGCCGAGGTGTTGTTGGACGACATGGCGCTTGGGCTCATAACCTGTTGTAACTTGAGCGCGAGGCGAAGAGAAAACGAAGCGGAGAGACCGGAGAGAACGAAGCAGAGAACACTTGCTCACTTGAGGGAGGATTCGAAAGTGATTGATTTATAGGTCTTAACTTCTGCCTACCCTAGACTGCATCCAATCACATGGTGCATCTAATCAACCTGATTTACACGCGTCCAATCATCCTACGCGTCTAATCATCTCTGAGGTAATTACCGATGCAAAAACTATCTCGTAAGAACTACGCGCTAGGTTCGGATTGTACCGGTAACCCTCAATACATTTGAAGTACTTGGTGCTCGCGATTACTATGCACAGCATCACGTACTTGACCACGGGCGAGAACGTCTCCGTGTAGTCGATGTCATAATTTTGGCGAAAACCCTTGGCCGCAAGTCGTGCTTTGTATTTATCGATCGACCCATCCGCCTTGCGCTTGATCTTGAAGACTCACTTTGTGCCAATGGCGCTTCACCCGCTGGGTAACTTGGCCGCACGAAACACACGCGAAGTCGCATTGACTCGAGCTCTGCATTAATTGCCTTGCGCTAGTGCGCTTGGTCCGGGCCAGTCACTGCTTCTCTAAATATCGACGGGCTCAAAGATGCACTGCTGCTTCAACAGCGTTTGCACTTACCTGTTGAAATGCGAAAGAAGTTGGTGTGTCACGTTGCTCGACTGACTTCCTTCATCTTTATTGGCTCGACGTGAAGAGAGGTCGTCTGAAGCACTTGCCCCTTCCAATCTGGGTCGTTGGCGCACTGCTCGGGGCATATTTGTATCTTCATCTTCGTGACTGAGTTAGGCCTTGCGCATTCCTATTCATTTTGAAGTATCTAGGAAGCGGATCTTTATCATCAAGATCAAAGGATTCGACGTCCTGTCCATCAACACCGTCATCGGAAATCAGCATAGAAAGTCCAAAGGCTGACTCTTCAAAGTTGACATCACGACTTATCGTCTCCTGCCCCACTTCAATGTCATAAACTCGATAATCCTTGGACATTTCTTCGTAGCCAAAATTAACCCAGTACGTGCCTTGGGTTTCCGCTTGAGTTGTTTCTCCTTCGGGGTCAAGATGTAAGTGTGGCACCCAAAACCGCGCATGTGCTTGACACTGGACTTGGAATTGTAGACAATCTCGAACGGTGTCTTGTGTGGGATCTTGGGTGACGGCAAACGGTTCTTCACGTAGACTGCCGTCATTGCCGCTTCAGCCTAGAAGCGCTTGTCCATTTTGACATGATGAAGCATGCTGCGACCGATGGTGATGACAGTCCGAGTTGCGCGTTCAGCAGTTCCGTTGGCTTGATCAGCGGATGACACCGTGGTTTGCTGTTCGATGCCTTCGACTTCGTAGAAATCTTGAAGCGAGCTTGTCGCAAACTCGCGGGATCTATCGTGTCACACAAACTTGACCTTTATGTTGATCTGCTTTTGGACAATCGTGATGTACCTCTTGATTCACTCCTCACTCCCCGACTTGGCATGCAGACAAAAATCCTCTATGCATCCGCTGGTTTCATCCGCGATAAGCAGCAGATACTTGCTGCCTGTTGACGGTCATTGGTTTCCTACCAGTATTGGTAACCGTGACCGGTCTAATCCGAACCGCCTGTTCAGCTTAGTATTTACGACGTAGTTCTTACGGTAATTACCATAGTTGATTAGACGCGTAGGATGATGAGACGCTTCACATGATTTATATGTGCACCACATATAAATCATGTAGTAAGCAGTAAGCCCCGATAATCAATCACTTTCCAATCTTCCATCTACCCCCCCCCAAGTGTCTTCTCCGGTCTTCCGAGTGGACTCCCAGCATCACTCCCAGTTTCGGTCGTCAAGCTTCACACCTTTCAATAGGTTATGAGCCCAAGCACGATGTCTTCTGCTCATGATGCCACCACCAAGATCTCCATTGACAAGTTCGACGGCGACAACTACGCGACATGGAGCCGGTACATGCGTGGCGTGTTCCTGACCAAGTCGACGTGGCACGTGGTGAACCGGGAGACGTCGCCGACCTACGCGGACGATCGCGCCATGGACGACTACGTCAAGGCCAACAACGTCGCTTTCGGACTGATGTTGCTGCACATGGACGCGGACTACCATCACATCGTCGATGACTGTGAAGAGGCGTGGGTCGCGTGGGCGCGTTTGGAGACGCTGTAAGGCGGATCACAGAAGGCTAGAAGCATCTACTTGAAGCGCCAGCTGTTCAGCATGGAGATGGCGGAAGGCGGCAATGTGATGCATCATTGCAACGAAGTCCTCAACCTCAGCGCGAAGCTCAGCAGCACCGGCGCCAAGATGGAGGACGAGGACGTGGCGATCTGCTTGTTGCGCACTCCCCAAGAGCTACGAGAACGTCGTCCTTATTTTGGAGATGAGCAGCACGGAACTGCGATCGCGAGACGTCGTGAGAGTGCTCACGAATGAGCACATCAAGAGGCAAGGTGACAAGACGACATCGATGAAGACTGAAGACGCGGCGAAGGCGTTCAGTGCCGAGCGTGAACCTCGCCAGTGTACATGCTGCGGAAAATTGGGGCACACGGCGGAGCGGTGCTGGACCAAGCAGAAGGACGAAAATCAAGGTGGAGCTCGACGCGGCGGTAACAATGCTCGTGGACGCGGAGCCAACAACGTTCAGTGGCGAATCAACAGCAACTACGACGACAACTACGATCGAGTTGCGTTCGCGGTTTCGCTGGAGGCTGGACTTTCGACGGGCAAGAATATGCCAGGGATGTGGGCATTCGACAGCGGTGCGACGCATAACATCTGCAGCGACAAGGCCAAGTTTGCAAGCCTGAATGAGCGAGAGGAAGGCGAACTATCAGTGGCTGATGGCAGCAAGGCTGCGATCAAGGGTGTGGGAACCATCATGGAACGGGTGGTTCTGTCCAATGGTGACGAACGCGACATTGAGATCAAGGACGCATTGTTCGTACCAAGTATGAGCAAGAATCTGCTTTCGGTGCCACAGATCAACAAGGGTGGCAGGTTCCAAGTCGTGTTTGATGAATCCAAGATGCAAGTGAAGCGCAAGAATTCCACACAAGTTGTGGCAACAGCGGATCTCGTCGATGGACTTTACTGGCTGCGGACTCCTCAACGATCGGCAAATGCAGCAACACGCAATGGGACTATCGACTTGCATGCGCGCATGGGTCATGCACCCCTCAAAGTTCTGCGCAAGATGGCGGCCACTGGCATGATCAAGGACGCCAAGGAACCTCTCAACTCGACTGGTCCAAGTGTGTGTCGCGGTTGCCAGCAAGGAAAGATGGTCCAAAAACCATTCCCAACCAACCGTGACAAACGCCAATATGGTGTGTTCGAGTTGCTGCATTTCGACATCTGCGGGCCAATGGAACAAGTCTCGATCGGTGGCAGCAGATACTTACTGCTTGTGGTTGACGAAGCCAGCGGTTGCGTGAAGGGCTTCTGTCTGCGGTCCAAGTCTGAGAGTGAAGACTGTATCATGAACCACATTATCAAGATTCAAACTCAGTTCGGCACGATGGAGCGCGTGAGTTTGCGACCAACTCCATCAAGACCTTCTACGAAGATCATGGTATCGAACAACAGGTCACGGTGCCGTATGCACACCAGACCAACGGCACCGCAGAACGCGCGATGCGGACCATCGTCACGATCGGACGCATCTTGTTGCATCATGCAAAGCTGGAGAAGTGTTTCTGGGCTGAAGCGGCAATGAAGGCGATCTACATCAAGAACCGCCTGCCTTCACCCAAGATCGACCACAAGACTCCGTTCGAGATCGTGTACAAGTCGAAACCAAGTGTCAAGCACATGCGCGTGTTTGGATGTCGGGCGTTTATCCTGACACCAAGGGAGAAGCGATTGAAGTGGGACCCGAAGGCTCGTGAAGGGATATTCATGGGCTACGAAGAAGCGTCAAAAGCTTATCGAGTGTACGACATTGAGGCGGGCCAAGTGGTGATCAGTCGTGACATCACCTTCGACGAATCGACTTTTGACTTTTCGATGGACCGACCAAGTGACGATGATGAAGATGCGCAGTTGGACCTCGACCTCCTGGCGATCAACGAGGACGACGTGCGTCAAACCGTCTACAAGCAGACTGGCAAGCGCAAGAGTGAAGCAAGACCCGGCATGTCACGTTCAGATCGCCCTCGAACTGGGTTGGAACAAGCAAGTGCGCCGGAACACGTCTCCAACCGTCACCAGAAACGACGATCAAGTGCTCCAGAAACGATGTCTGATGACGAAGAAGATGCAAGCGTCTACGATCAAGATGACGACTCGACGCCTCCAACATTTTGGCGTGCAAGTGCAAAAGCAATGGAAGCAACGGACCTAGCAGAACCTGTGACTTTTCAAGACGCGGTCAATGGTCCTGATCAAGCTCACTGGCGAAATGCTGTGAAGGCGGAACTCAAGTCGATGCATCTTCTCGGAGTTTTCCGTGCGGCAAAACTGCCAAGAGGCCAAGGCGCGATCGGCACCAAGTGGGTGTTCAAGATCAAGCGCAAAGCGGATGGATCGGTCGAGAAATACAAGGCGCGTCTCGTTGCCAAGGGCTTCAAGAAGAAGTACGGCATCGACTACACAGAGACGTTTTCGCCCGTGGTCAAGTACGTGACACTGCGTATGGTGATCGCGATCACCAAGTATTTCGACTGGCCACTGGACCAGCTCGATGTGGTGACAGCCTTTCTCTACGGAGTGATGAAGGAGAAGGTGTACTGCGTGATACCAGAAGGCGTCGAGATGGATGGCGACTTCGACTGTCTCGAGTTGGTGAAGGCGATCTACGGTCTCGAGCAAGCTTCACGTGTGTGGAACGAGACTTTCGACGAGTTCGTATGCTTTATCGGTTTCGAAGTGTCGGCGTTCGACCCATGTCTCTACATCAAGGTGTCGACGGTCACTGTGTGCTCGTGCTGGTCTACGTGGATGACGTGTTGGTCACCGGCAGCTCGCTCGAGTTGATTGCGCAGACGAAGGCCGACCTCAAGACACGTTTCGAGGTGACCGACAGTGGCAAGTGTACTTTTGTACTGGGCATCGAACTGGTGGACGAATCGGATGGCAGCGTGACGATGTGCCAGCGACGGTATGTCAACGACATCCTCAAGCGCTTCGGCATGGATGAGTGCAAGGCCACAGCAAGTCCGGTCGACTTGAGCACTCGGCTTGTCGCTTGCAGCGAAGCGGCCAAGATCGACGTTCCGTTTCGTGAAGTTGTGGGAGCTTTGATGCACTTGACGACTGCGACGCGCCCGGACATTGCGTATGCTGTGGGGTACGTCTCGCGCTTCATGGAGAATCCGCAGCAAGAACATTGGACGGCGGTGAAGCGCATCTTTCGTAACTTGCAAGGGACCAAGTCGCACGGACCCCACTTCCAGCCAAGCGACAAGATCGACTTTCGTGGCTACACGGACGCGGACTGGGCCGGCGACCACGCTGATCGCAAGTCGACTTCGGGTTACACTTTCATGCTGATGGGTGCTCCTGTGAGTTGGGGAAGCAAGAAGCAGTCAAGTGTGTCGCTGTCGATGAGTGAAGCGGAATACATCGCACTGAGTCTGGCCATCCAGGAAGGCAAGTGGGTGCATCGCCTGCTATGCGAGATTTTGGCGGCCGCAAACGAACCAGGACCGGACTGTTGAAAAGACAGCGGCTGTGAAGAAGACACCTCGTCAAGCTGCGTCAAGTGTTGAAGCAAGTGGAAGACCAAGCTTCGCTATACCGGTGGGTACCGGTATGTACCAGTAAGGGCGAAGTCAGGAAATGACGTCACTGGATGACGTCATTGCATGACGTCAGTGGGTGACGTCAGTGGGTGACGTCACTGGATGACGTCACTGCGAATAATAGGCTTAGAGGTAGTATTCAAAGTTGCGAACTAAGTACCTATTATAAATATATATTCACTTTGCGTTTTGCACTCGGACCAAGAAGTCTAAAGTTCATCAGGTTATGAGCCCAAGTTCGTCAGACTCTGAAACCGCCAACAATTCAAGCTTAGCTGCCATGGACGCCTCCTCCCTCCGCATCTCCAAGTTCGATGGAACTAACTTCCACGCCTGGAAGTTCAAGATGCAGATGGTGCTGGAGGAACGGGACCTATGGGAGGTCGTCAGCGGTGAGATCAAGGCGGAACAGTGCGAGACTCAGTTGGACCAAGCGACGTACAAGAGGAAGTCAAGAAAGGCGATGGCAGTGATCTGTCTAGCCATGGAAGATTCCCAGCTACCGTTGGTCCGGTCGGCAAGTGGTGCATGCGACGCATGGTCAAGGTTGGAAGACCACTTCGAGAAGAAGAGTCTTGCCAACAAGCTGTTCTTGCGCCGTCGCTTCTTCACGACAATGATGGAAGAAGGCGACGATGTGCTCGAACACATCAACAAGCTCAAGACGCTGGCGGAACAGCTAGAAGCGGTGGGGGCTCCAGTCTGCGAGGACGATCTGGTGATCACACTCCTCGGCAGCCTGAGTGACTCGTATCAATTCTTGATCACAGCTTTGGAGTCGCGCTCAGACACTCTTAGCTGGGAGCTCGTGACGTCTCGACTGCTTCATGAAGAAATGAAGCGGAAGGAGCAAGGAAGTAAAGGTGATGAAGCTTCGCAAGGTCAAGCGTTCATCACAAGGGACAATCAGCGCAAAGGGCGACCAGTGAAGAAGTCCTGGCCGTGCCACAATTGCGGAAAGATTGGTCACTGGATGGCGGAGTGCCCCTCGCGCATCCAAGAAAACACGGAGAGACACCGGCCACAGCGTGCTCAAGACAGCGGCGACCGCTATCGATCACAACGTGCAAACGTCGCTCAAGAAGAATACTCGGGCGACTACCTCTTTTCGATCGGTGAAACGACATCTGCGAAATCGAGCGACATCTGGCTGGTCGACTCCGGGGCGACGCAGCACATGACGTGCTCCAAGAAGTTCATGCGGAACTACAAGGGGTTTGACGCTGTGGATGTCCATCTCGCGGATGACGGAATCGTCCAAGCAATCGGCAGTGGGGACATTGTCATGTCGATGAAGACACCCCCAAGGGATGAAGAAAGGTGTGCTCACAAACGTGTGGCACATCCCAAAGTTATCCAGAAACCTGTTCTCGGTCGGCCGCTTCACCAAGGATGTCGGCCCAGTGACGTTCACGAAGGATGGGTGCTATGGAGAAGCGAAAGGGACCAAGTGGAAAATTGGTGCCCGTGAAGGTAAAGGACTGTTCAAGCTGCAAATGACTCCAGTGGCGCCGGAACAAGCAAATGCAGCCAAGTCGTCGGGATGTCAAGGGGGCACCAAGTCGTACCTCTGGCACCTTCGGCTTGGCCACATAGGTCACGATGGACTCAATTGCATCGTGACGAAGAACATTGGAATTGGCATCGACATATCTTCGGTGAAGAAGTGGGACGTGTGTGAAGGTTGTGCTCTGGGAAAACAGACTCGAGTGCGCTTCCAATCAAACACTACAGCTCGCACCTCCAAACTCCTCGAAGTGATTCACAGCGACGTATGCGGACCGATGTCGATGGCAACTTTCAGTGGAAAACGGTACTTCGTGACATTCATTGATGACAAGTCAAGATACTGTGTCGTCTATCTGCTCAAGAGCAAATCTGAAGTTGCGGCGAAGTTCATGGAATACGCTGCGATGGCCGAAACGCAAACCGGAAAGCGCGTGAAGTACCTTCAAAGCAACAATGGGGGTGAATACAAGTCCGACAAGCTGGCACGATTCTGCGCGGAACGGGGAATACAACAAAGGTTCACACCCCCATATACTCCTCAGCTAAACGGAGTAGCTGAGAGAATGAATCGCACGCTGGTCGAGTGTGCGCGTTGCATGATGGAACACGCTGGACTGGGAAAGAGCTACTGGGGTGAAGCAGTGATGACGGCGATGTTTCTTCGAAACCGCTGTCCAACACGTGCCATTCACCAAGACAAGTCTCCATATCAAGTGTGGACGATGAAGAAACCGATTCTGGCCAACCTTAAAGTGTTTGGATGCCACGCGTATGTTCAAGTGCCTCAAGACAAACGCGCGAAGTTCGACTCCAAGTCATCACTCTGTCGTTTCCTGGGATACGCCGAACACCAGAAGTCATATCGATTTGAGGAAGTGTCAACAGGAGCGATCAAGATCAGTCGCGATGCCACATTCATGGAAGACAAGTTTGATGAAGGTCCGCGCAACTACAACGATGAGTCAAGTGTCGTTGAGTTTGATGATCATGATGAGGACGAAGAAAAAGAAGAAGGTAAAACTGACGACGACATGGACTCGAGCGACGATGACAACGAAGACACCAGGTCTTCGAAGAGCAACATCAAGAGACACACGCGCACTCAATCACTTGAGAAAGCTACCGTCATTCCAAGTCCCAAGCGAAGAACATACAGAGGTCCGTCGCTTGAGCATGTGTCAGCGGCTGCAATGGATTTTGAAGCAGCCTACATCGTTGATTCAGTGGGGGAAACGCCGACTACATTCAAGTCGGCGATGGAATCAAGCGACTCCGGCAAGTGGAAAGAAGCGTGTGACTCGGAGTTCGATTCGCTTCAGAGAAACGACACGGGGAAATCGTGCCTCTTCCGAAAGGTCGCAAGGCCATCGGGTGCAGATGGGTTTTTCGTGTAAAGGAGAATCAAGATGGCGAAGTTGAACGTTTCAAGGCAAGACTTGTGGCCAAAGGATTCTCACAGAAATTCGGAGTTGACTATGAAGAAACTTTCGCACCGGTGGCCAAGTTCACATCGATTCGTGTGGTGCTCAGTATGGCGGCTAAGTACGGCCTAATGCTACATCAGATGGACGTCAAGACAGCGTTTCTTAACGGCTCCCTCAACGAAGACATCTACATGGACCAGCCGGACGGATACCTGGATGCAACACAGCCGGACTATGTGTGCAAGCTAAAGAGATCACTCTACGGCTTGAAGCAATCGCCTCGCATGTGGAACCAAACAATCGATGGGTTCATGATCAAGATGGGATTCAAGAAGTGCGAATCGGACCACTGCATCTACATCAAGCGAGACGACCAAGACATGATTCTCGTGGTGCTCTACGTCGATGATCTCATCCTGGCCAGCAGCAACAACGAACTCCTCAAGTCAACCAAGATGGCGCTGAGCAAACGCTTCGAAATGACGGATCTCGGTGAGCTCGATTACTTTCTCGGCATGGAGATCAAGAACGACCGTAAGACGGGAATGGTGACTGTACAACAAACCAAGTTCCTCAAGTCCGTGTTAACCAAGTTCGGAATGGATAACAGCAAGCCAGTGAAGACGCCTCAAGATCCCGGCCTGAAGCTAACCAAGAACATGTGTGAACAAGAATGCAAGCACGAAGACACCATGTGCAACGTGCCATATCGAAGTGCTGTCGGAGGCATCATGTATCTCATGGTCGCCACACGTCCGGATCTAGCTGCTGCAGTGGGATCATTATCCCAGTTCTCGTCCGACCCATGCCCGACTCACTGGCAAGCTTTGAAGCGTGTGCTGAGATACCTGCAAGCAACGCCCAATCATGGTCTTGAGTTTACACGTGAAGAAGGAAGCCGTATCTGCGGGTACACCGACGCAGACTGGGCCGGCGACATTGAGTCAAGACGAAGTACAAGCGGCTATGTGTTCATGATGAGCGGAGGATGCATCAGCTGGAAAAGCCAGAAAACAACGGACGGTCGCGCTATCTTCAACAGAAGCAGAATACATGGCGCTTCCGAAGCAACCAAAGAAGCAGTATGGCTCAAAGTGCTTTTGGGGGAACTTGGTGAGATGACAAGCGACGAAGCGATCAAGATGTATGAAGACAACCAAGGATCAATCGCTCTCGCCAAGAACCCGGAGTTCCATAAGAGAACAAAACACATCGACATACGCTACCATTTTGTGCGTGAGAAGGTGGAATCAGGTGAAGTCGTTTTGGAGTATTGCCCGACTCAAGATATGCTGGCAGACATGATGACCAAGCCGATCGCCGCTGTACAATTTGAAAACATTCGCGATCGACTTGGGATCCATGGTGCCGCAGCTAACGAGTCGAGAGGGAGTGTTGAAAAGACAGCGGCTGTGAAGAAGACACCTCGTCAAGCTGCGTCAAGTGTTGAAGCAAGTGGAAGACCAAGCTTCGCTATACCGGTGGGTACCGGTATGTACCAGTAAGGGCGAAGTCAGGAAATGACGTCACTGGATGACGTCATTGCATGACGTCAGTGGGTGACGTCAGTGGGTGACGTCACTGGATGACGTCACTGCGAATAATAGGCTTAGAGGTAGTATTCAAAGTTGCGAACTAAGTACCTATTATAAATATATATTCACTTTGCGTTTTGCACTCGGACCAAGAAGTCTAAAGTTCATCACGGACCTCGTCATCCGTGAAGACAACCAGTCGTGCATCAAGATGACAAAGAATACGGTGCATCATGGCCGCGCCAAGCACATCGACATCAAGTACCATCACATCCGTGATGAGGTCAAGCGCAGTGAAGTGCAGCTCGAGTATTGCGAGACTTCCGTGATGATGGCGGACATCATGACCAAGGGACTTTCGGGACCTCGCCACAAGGACTTGACGACGGCTCTCGGCATTCGTGCGAGTTCGGATTGAGGGGGCGTCTTGACGGTCATCGGTTTTCTACCAGTATTGGTAACCGTGACCGGACCAATCCGAACCGCCTGTTCAGCTTAGTATTTACGACGTAGTTCTTACGGTAATTACCATAATTGATTAGACGCGTAGGATGATGAGACGCTTCATATGATTTATATGTGCACCACATATAAATCATGTAGTAAGTAGTAAGCCCCGATAATCAATCACTTTCCAATCTTCCATCTACCCCCAAGTGTCTTCTCCGGTCTTCCGAGTGGACTTCCAACATCACTCCCAGTTTCGGTCGTCAAGCTTCACACCTAACAACACTGCTTCTTAAAGATTTGTCTTCCATGGGTCCTCAGGTGTCGAAGTGGAGCATCTCGAAGGTATTGAAGGTGCGCTTGTCACGGTTTCTCGAGAATGGTTTTGAACCATCTTCCCTTCCTGACATCCTCGACACACACTTGGTCCATTCGGTTTGAAAGGGATGTAAGCGTCTTTAATCATGTTGCTTGTCACCATCTTGCGAAGTACGTCGACTGAAGCATGGCCCATTCGCGCATGGATATCTTCAAATTTCAGCCGCGAAGTAGCAATCACAGATCGTTGTGATGTGCGAAGCCAGTAGGGTCCATTCATAATATCCGCCATCGCCACCACTTGCTTGGAGTCTTTGTGCAAACTCTTTATCTCACTTTTATCAAACACCACTTGGAACTTGCCGCTTTTGTTAATCTGGGGTATCGACAGTAGGTTCTTGTTCATGCTTGAGACATTAAGTGCATCCTCAATTTCAACTTCGCGCTCTTCACCGTTTGGTAGGACCACCTTTTCGACGATAGTCCCAACTCTATTGATCGCAGCCTTGTTTCCGTCTGCAACCAGCACATCACCTTCATTGCGCTCGTCCAGAACTTCAAACTTGGACTTTTCATAGAAGATGTGGTGCGTTGCTGCTGTAAATCGCCCACATTCCCACCATGGTCTTGGCTGTCGAAAGCTCGCATTCCAGCGAAACAGCAAACGCCACTCGATCATGGTCTTAGTTGTTGCCGTTGCCGCTGTAGCCGTGCCATTGGACTTGATTTGCTCCGCGTCCACGAGCCCAATGGCACGGCCCTTGTTGCTGCTGCGTCGATCTCCTCGGTCGTCTTCCCTCTGTTTGGTCCAGCACTTTATCACCACGTGCCCCAATTTTCCGCAGAACGTACATTGACGGAATTCACGCTCGTGCTGAAGGCCTTGGTCGCTTCTTCAGTCTTCACCAATGTCGTCGTGTTTCGTTGTCTCTTGATGTGCTCATTCGTAAGCACTCTCACGACGTCTTGCGACCGCAGTTCTGCGCTGCTCATCTCCAAGTTGAGAGCAACGTTCTCATAGCTCTTGGGGAGACTGCGCAACAAGCGGATCGCCACGTCTTTGTCCTCCATCTTAGCGCCGATGCTGCTGAACTTAGCGCTGGTGTTGAGAACGTTGTTGCAATGATGCATGAAATTGCCGCCTTCCTCCATCTCCATGCTGAACAGCTGTCGCTTCAAGAAGGTCCGTCCCGCCTTCTGAGATCCGCCGTAGAGAGTCTTCAACCGTGCCCACGCAACCCACGCTTCTTTACACTCATCAACCACATCATGGTAATCCGCGCTCATCTGAGGCAGCATCAAGCCGATCTCAATGTAGTTCGTCTTGACATACTCGTCACTAGCGCGAGGATCAGCGAAGGCGGGGGTGGTCTCCCGGATGACTACGTACCACGTCGACTTGGTCAGGAACACGCCGCGCATGTAGCGGCTCCACGTCGCATATTTTTTACCATCGAATTTGTCGATGCAGATCTTGGTGGCGGAATCTTGAGCAGAGGACATCGCGCTTAGGCTTATAACCTGTTAAAGTCTGAAGAGCACTTGATGAAAGAACCGAAGCTTGAAGAAACGAAAGAAGTCTGCACTGCAAAGTGTAGACGACTTACGACGGAGAAGGAAATCTTTGGAAGTGAATTTATTTCTGGGTTGTTTAAGCTACCTGATTGATCCGTGTCCTGATTCATGCATTTTGCACATTTAAATCATAAATCATAGAACATGTAGGTCATCCAATCTTCCTATGCGTCTAATCATTGGTAAGCGCTCACCGTAATTACGTGAGACCGACTTGGACAGGTTTACGGTTTACACGGTATCTGATAATAGTACCTTAACCGTCAACCCACGATACGCCCCCTCAATGCGAACACGCGTGTATGCCAAGCGCTGCCGTCAATTCCGTGTGACGCGGTCCTGGCAGTCCCTTTGTCATGATGTCCGCCATCATCATCGCAGTCTCACCGTACTCCAACGTATCATCACCACGCTTGACTTCATCGCGACTGTGGTGGTACTTGGTGTTGACGTGCTTGGCCCGACCATGGTTCACAGGATTCTTCGTCATCTTGATGCACGATTGATTGTCTTCCATGATCTTGAGCTCGGGTCTGGGCTTGTCCTCTGCGGCATTCAGAATCTCGCATAATAGGCGATGCACCCACTTGCCTTCTTTAATTGCCAGACTTAGCGCGACGTACTCTGCTTCGCTTGTCGATAGCGATACACTTGATTGCTTCTTGCTTTTCCAGCTTATCGGAGCACCCATCAGGATAGACGCATATTCTGAAGTCGACTTGCGGTCTTCATGATCACTGGGCTAGTCTGCATCCGAGTCGCCACATAAATCCACCTTGTTGTCGGGTTTAACGAAGATGCCGTGTGACTTGGTTTCTTGTAGATAACGAAGAATTCGCTTGACTGCCATCCAATGCTCGACTTGGGGTTCTCCATGGAACGCGAAACGTAGCCCACAACAAAAGCAATGTCCGGTCTTTTCGCGGTCATTAAGTGCATCAAAGCACCTACTGCTTCACGAGACGGAGCGTTGTTCTTGGATGCTGCGTCGCTTGGTGTGAGTCGAGAACTGATATCCGTTGGACTGATGACGGCCTTGCAATCACTCATGCCAAAACGCTTGAGAACATCGTCCACGTATCGTCGCTGACACATTGTCACACTACCGTCGATGTTGTTCACCAGCTCGATGCCCAATACGAACGCGCACTTGCCACTGTCAGTCATATCGAAACGCCTTTTCAAGTCACTCTCGGTGCGCACAATTACCTCAGTCGAACTGCCCGTTGCCAGTGATGAACTTTAGACTTCTTGGTCCGAGTGCAAAACGCAAAGTGAATATATATTTATAATAGGTACTTAGTTCGCAACTTTGAATACTACCTCTAAGCCTATTATTCGCAGTGACGTCATCCAGTGACGTCACCCACTGACGTCACCCACTGACGTCATGCAATGACGTCATCCAGTGACGTCATTTCCTGACTTCGCCCTTACTGGTACATACCGGTACCCACCGGTATAGCGAAGCTTGGTCTTCCACTTGCTTCAACACTTGACGCAGCTTGACGAGGTGTCTTCTTCACAGCCGCTGTCTTTTCAACACTCCCTCTCGACTCGTTAGCTGCGGCACCATGGATCCCAAGTCGATCGCGAATGTTTTCAAATTGTACAGCGGCGATCGGCTTGGTCATCATGTCTGCCAGCATATCTTGAGTCGGGCAATACTCCAAAACGACTTCACCTGATTCCACCTTCTCACGCACAAAATGGTAGCGTATGTCGATGTGTTTTGTTCTCTTATGGAACTCCGGGTTCTTGGCGAGAGCGATTGATCCTTGGTTGTCTTCATACATCTTGATCGCTTCGTCGCTTGTCATCTCACCAAGTTCCCCCAAAAGCACCTTGAGCCATACTGCTTCTTTGGTTGCTTCGGAAAGCGCCATGTATTCTGCTTCTGTTGAAGATAGCGCGACCGTCCGTTGTTTCTGGCTTTTCCAGCTGATGCATCCTCCGCTCATCATGAACACATAGCCGCTTGTACTTCGTCTTGACTCAATGTCGCCGGCCCAGTCTGCGTCGGTGTACCCGCAGATACGGCTTCCTTCTTCACGTGTAAACTCAAGACCATGATTGGGCGTTGCTTGCAGGTATCTCAGCACACGCTTCAAAGCTTGCCAGTGAGTCGGGCATGGGTCGGACGAGAACTGGGATAATGATCCCACTGCAGCAGCTAGATCCGGACGTGTGGCGACCATGAGATACATGATGCCTCCGACAGCACTTCGATATGGCACGTTGCACATGGTGTCTTCGTGCTTGCATTCTTGTTCACACATGTTCTTGGTTAGCTTCAGGCCGGGATCTTGAGGCGTCTTCACTGGCTTGCTGTTATCCATTCCGAACTTGGTTAACACGGACTTGAGAAACTTGGTTTGTTGTACAGTCACCATTCCCGTCTTACGGTCGTTCTTGATCTCCATGCCGAGAAAGTAATCGAGCTCACCGAGATCCGTCATTTCGAAGCGTTTGCTCAGCGCCATCTTGGTCGACTTGAGGAGTTCGTTGTTGCTGCTGGCCAGGATGAGATCATCGACGTAGAGCACCACGAGAATCATGTCTTGGTCGTCTCGCTTGATGTAGATGCAGTGGTCCGATTCGCACTTCTTGAATCCCATCTTGATCATGAACCCATCGATTGTTTGGTTCCACATGCGAGGCGATTGCTTCAAGCCGTAGAGTGATCTCTTTAGCTTGCACACATAGTCCGGCTGTGTTGCATCCAGGTATCCGTCCGGCTGGTCCATGTAGATGTCTTCGTTGAGGGAGCCGTTAAGAAACGCTGTCTTGACGTCCATCTGATGTAGCATTAGGCCGTACTTAGCCGCCATACTGAGCACCACACGAATCGATGTGAACTTGGCCACCGGTGCGAAAGTTTCTTCATAGTCAACTCCGAATTTCTGTGAGAATCCTTTGGCCACAAGTCTTGCCTTGAAACGTTCAACTTCGCCATCTTGATTCTCCTTTACACGAAAAACCCATCGGCACCCGATGGCCTTGCGACCTTCGGAAGAGGCACGATTTCCCACGTGTCGTTTCTCTGAAGCGAATCGAACTCCGAGTCACACGCTTCTTTCCACTTGCCGGAGTCGCTTGATTCCATCGCCGACTTGAATGTAGTCGGCGTTTCCACTGAATCAACGATGTAGGCTGCTTCAAAATCCATTGCAGCCGCTGACACATGCTCAAGCGACGGACCTCTGTATGTTCTTCGCTTGGGACTTGAATGACGGTAGCTTTCTCAAGTGATTGAGTGCGCGTGTGTCTCTTGATGTTGCTCTTCGAAGACCTGGTGTCTTCGTTGTCATCGTCGCTCGAGTCCATGTCGTCGTCAGTTTTACCTTCTTCTTTTCTTCGTCCTCATCATGATCATCAAACTCAACGACACTTGACTCATCGTTGTAGTTGCGCGTACCTTCATCAAACTTGTCTTCCATGAATGTGGCATCGCGACTGATCTTGATCGCTCCTGTTGACACTTCCTCAAATCGATATGACTTCTGGTGTTCGGCGTATCCCAGGAAACGACAGAGTGATGACTTGGAGTCGAACTTCGCGCGTTTGTCTTGAGGCACTTGAACATACGCGTGGCATCCAAACACTTTAAGGTTGGCCAGAATCGGTTTCTTCATCGTCCACACTTGATATGGAGACTTGTCTTGGTGAATGGCACGTGTTGGACAGCGGTTTCGAAGAAACATCGCCGTCATCACTGCTTCACCCCAGTAGCTCTTTCCCAGTCCAGCGTGTTCCATCATGCAACGCGCACACTCGACCAGCGTGCGATTCATTCTCTCAGCTACTCCGTTTAGCTGAGGAGTATATGGGGGTGTGAACCTTTGTTGTATTCCCCGTTCCGCGCAGAATCGTGCCAGCTTGTCGGACTTGTATTCACCCCCATTGTCGCTTTGAAGGTACTTCACGCGCTTTCCGGTTTGCGTTTCGGCCATCGCAGCGTATTCCATGAACTTCGCCGCAACTTCAGATTTGCTCTTGAGCAGATAGACGACACAGTATCTTGACTTGTCATCGATGAATGTCACGAAGTACCGTTTTCCACTGAAAGTTGCCATCGACATCGGTCCGCATACGTCGCTGTGAATCACTTCGAGGAGTTTGGAGGTGCGAGCTGTAGTGTTTGATTGGAAGCGCACTCGAGTCTGTTTTCCCAGAGCACAACCTTCACACACGTCCCACTTCTTCACCGAAGATATGTCGATGCCAATTCCAATGTTCTTCGTCACGATGCAATTGAGTCCATCGTGACCTATGTGACCAAGCCGAAGGTGCCAAAGGTACGACTTGGTGCCCCCTTGACATCCCGACGACTTGGCTGCATTTGCTTGTTCCGGCGCCACTGGAGTCATTTGCAGCTTGAACAGTCCTTTACCTTCACGGGCACCAATTTTCCACTTGGTCCCTTTCGCTTCTCCATAGCACCCATCCTTCGTGAACGTCACTGGGCCGACATCCTTGGTGAAGCGGCCGACCGAGAACAGGTTTCTGGATAACTTTGGGATGTGCCACACGTTTGTGAGCACACCTTTCTTCATCCCTTGGGGTGTCTTCATCGACATGACAATGTCCCCACTGCCGATTGCTTGGACGATTCCATCATCCGCGAGATGGACATCCACAGCGTCAAACCCCTTGTAGTTCCGCATGAACTTCTTGGAGCACGTCATGTGCTGCGTCGCCCCGGAGTCGACCAGCCAGATGTCGCTCGATTTCGCAGATGTCGTTTCACCGATCGAAAAGAGGTAGTCGCCCGAGTCTTCTTCTTGAGCGACGTTTGCACGTTGTGATCGATAGCGGTCGCCGCTGTCTTGAGCACGCTGTGGCCGGTGTCTCTCCGTGTTTTCTTGGATGCGCGAGGGGCACTCCGCCATCCAGTGACCAATCTTTCCGCAATTGTGGCACGGCCAGGACTTCTTCACTGGTCGCCCTTTGCGCTGATTGTCCCTTGTGATGAACGCTTGACCTTGCGAAGCTTCATCACCTTTACTTCCTTGCTCCCTCCGCTTCATTTCTTCATGAAGCAGTCGAGACGTCACGAGCTCCCAGCTAAGAGTGTCTGAGCGCGACTCCAAAGCTGTGATCAAGAATTGATACGAGTCACTCAGGCTGCCGAGGAGTGTGATCACCAGATCGTCCTCGCAGACTGGAGCCCCCACCGCTTCTAGCTGTTCCGCCAGCGTCTTGAGCTTGTTGATGTGTTCGAGCACATCGTCGCCTTCTTCCATCATTGTCGTGAAGAAGCGACGGCGCAAGAACAGCTTGTTGGCAAGACTCTTCTTCTCGAAGTGGTCTTCCAACCTTGACCATGCGTCGCATGCACCACTTGCCGACCGGACCAACGGTAGCTGGGAATCTTCCATGGCTAGACAGATCACTGCCATCGCCTTTCTTGACTTCCTCTTGTACGTCGCTTGGTCCAACTGAGTCTCGCACTGTTCCGCCTTGATCTCACCGCTGACGACCTCCCATAGGTCCCGTTCCTCCAGCACCATCTGCATCTTGAACTTCCAGGCGTGGAAGTTAGTTCCATCGAACTTGGAGATGCGGAGGGAGGAGGCGTCCATGGCAGCTAAGCTTGAATTGTTGGCGGTTTCAGAGTCTGACGAACTTGGGCTCATAACCTGATGAACTTTAGACTTCTTGGTCCGAGTGCAAAACGCAAAGTGAATATATATTTATAATAGGTACTTAGTTCGCAACTTTGAATACTACCTCTAAGCCTATTATTCGCAGTGACGTCATCCAGTGACGTCACCCACTGACGTCACCCACTGACGTCATGCAATGACGTCATCCAGTGACGTCATTTCCTGACTTCGCCCTTACTGGTACATACCGGTACCCACCGGTATAGCGAAGCTTGGTCTTCCACTTGCTTCAACACTTGACGCAGCTTGACGAGGTGTCTTCTTCACAGCCGCTGTCTTTTCAACAGCCAGCACATCATCGACGAGACCAAAAACAGCACGCACTTTCCGCTTGCGACCTTGAGATAGAGGCATGGGTCGAAGTCGGACTCTTGAAATACAATCGAGCAAACAAAGTCATACAAAGTCTCGCTCCATACCCGCAATGCTTGTTTCAGTCCGTAGATCGCCTTCGCCAATTCGATGCAGTCAAAGTCTTCATCACTGTCGACACCTGCTGGGATCGCGCAGAACACCTTTTTTTCATCTTTCCGTACAAGAAGGCTTTCACCATGTCCAGTTAGTCCAGTGACCATTTGAAGTACTTGGTGCTCGCGATTACTATGCACAGCATCACGTACTTGACCACGGGCGAGAACGTCTCCGTGTAGTCGATGTCATAACTTTGGCGAAAACCCTTGGCCGCAAGTCGTGCTTTGTATTTATCGATCGACCCATCCGCCTTGCGCTTGATCTTGAAGACTCACTTTGTGCCAATGGCGCTTCACCCGTTGGGTAACTTGGCCGCACGAAACACACGCGAAGTCGCATTGACTCGAGCTCTGCATTAATTGCCTTGCGCTAGTGCGCTTGGTCCGGGCCAGTCACTGCTTCTCTAAATATCGACGGGCTCAAAGATGCACTGCTGCTTCAACAGCGTTTGCACTTACCTGTTGAAATACGAAAGAAGTTGGTGTGTCACGTTGCTCGACTGACTTCCTTCATCTTTATTGGCTCGACGTGAAGAGAGGTCGTCTGAAGCACTTGCCCCTTCCAATCTGGGTCGTTGGCGCACTGCTCGGGGCATATTTGTATCTTCATCTTCGTGACTGAGTTAGGCCTTGCGCATTCCTATTCATTTTGAAGTATCTAGGAAGCGGATCTTTATCATCAAGATCAAAGGATTCGACGTCCTGTCCATCAACACCGTCATCGGAAATCAGCATAGAAAGTCCAAAGGCTGACTCTTCAAAGTTGACATCACGACTTATCGTCTCCTGCCCCACTTCAATGTCATAAACTCGATAATCCTTGGACATTTCTTCGTAGCCAAAATTAACCCAGTACGTGCCTTGGGATTCCGCTTGAGTTGTTTCTCCTTCGGGGTCAAGATGTAAGTGTGGCACCCAAAACCGCGCATGTGCTTGACACTTGACTTGGAATTGTAGACAATCTCGAACGGTGTCTTGTGTGGAATCTTGGGTGACGGCAAACGGTTCTTCACGTAGACTGCCGTCATTGCCGCTTCAGCCTAAAAGCGCTTGTCCATTTTGACATGATGAAGCATGCTGCGACCGATGGTGATGACAGTCCGAGTTGCGCGTTCAGCAGTTCCGCTGGCTTGATCAGCGGATGACACCGTGGTTTGCTGTTCGATGCCTTCGACTTCGTAGAAATCTTGAAGCGAGCTTGTCGCAAACTCGCGGGATCTATCGTGTCACACAAACTTGACCTTTATGTTGATCTGCTTTTGGACAATCGTGATGTACCTCTTGATGCACTCCTCACTCTCCGACTTGGCATGCAGACAAAAATCCTCTATGCATCCGCTGGTTTCATCCGCGATAAGCAGCAGATACTTGCTGCCTGTTGACGGTCATTGGTTTCCTACCAGTATTGGTAACCGTGACCGGTCCAATGCGAACCGCCTGTTCAGCTTAGTATTTACGACGTAGTTCTTACGGTAATTACCATAGTTGATTAGACGCGTAGGATGATGAGACGCTTCACATGATTTATATGTGCACCACATATAAATCATGTAGTAAGCAGTAAGCCCCGATAATCAATCACTTTCCAATCTTCCATCTACCCCCCCCCAAGTGTCTTCTCCGGTCTTCCGAGTGGACTCCCAGCATCACTCCCAGTTTCGGTCGTCAAGCTTCACACCTTTCAATAGGTTATGAGCCCAAGCACGATGTCTTCTGCTCATGATGCCACCACCAAGATCTCCATTGACAAGTTCGACGGCGACAACTACGCGACATGGAGCCGGTACATGCGTGGCGTGTTCCTGACCAAGTCGACGTGGCACGTGGTCAACCGGGAGACGTCGCCGACCTACGCGGACGATCGCGCCATGGAGGACTACGTCAAGTCCAGCAACGTCGCTTTCGGCCTTATGCTTTTGCATATGGACGCGGACTACCATCACATCGTCGATGACTGTGAAGAGGCGTGGGTCGCGTGGGCGCGTTTGGAGACGCTGTACGGCGGATCGCAGAAGGCTGGACGCATCTACTTGAAGCGCCAGCTGTTCAGCATGGAGATGGCGGAAGGCGGCAATGTGATGCATCATTGCAACGAAGTCCTCAACCTCAGCGCGAAGCTCAGCAGCACCGGCGCCAAGATGGAGGACGAGGACGTGGCGATCTGCTTGTTGCGCACTCCCCAAGAGCTACGAGAACGTCGTCCTTATTTTGGAGATGAGCAGCACGGAACTGCGATCGCGAGACGTCGTGAGAGTGCTCACGAATGAGCACATCAAGAGGCAAGGTGACAAGACGACATCGGTGAAGACTGAAGACGCGGCGAAGGCGTTCAGTGCCGAGCGTGAACCTCGCCAGTGTACATGCTGCGGAAAATTGGGGCACACGGCGGAGCGGTGCTGGACCAAGCAGAAGGACGAAAATCAAGGTGGAGCTCGACGCGGCGGCAACAATGCTCGTGGACGCGGAGCCAACAACGTTCAGTGGCGAATCAACAGCAACTACGACGACAACTACGATCGAGTTGCGTTCGCGGTTTCGCTGGAGGCTGGACTTTCGACGGGCAAGAATATGCCAGGGATGTGGGCAGTCGACAGCGGTGCGACGCATAACATCTGCAGCGACAAGGCCAAGTTTGCAAGCCTGAATGAGCGAGAGGAAGGCGAACTATCAGTGGCTGATGGCAGCAAGGCTGCGATCAAGGGTGTGGGAACCATCATGGAACGGGTGGTTCTGTCCAATGGTGACGAACGCGACATTGAGATCAAGGACGCATTGTTCGTACCAAGTATGAGCAAGAATCTGCTTTCGGTGCCACAGATCAACAAGGGTGGCAGGTTCCAAGTCGTGTTCGATGGATCCAAGATGCAAGTGAAGCGCAAGAATTCCACACAAGTTGTGGCAACAGCGGATCTCGTCGATGGACTTTACTGGCTGCGGACTCCTCAACGATCGGCAAATGCAGCAACACGCAATGGGACTATCGACTTGCATGCGCGCATGGGTCATGCACCCCTCAAAGTTCTGCGCAAGATGGCGGCCATTGGCCCGCAGATGTCGAAATGCAGCAACTCGAACACACCATATTGGCGTTTGTCACGGTTGCCAGCAAGGAAAGATGGTCCAAAAACCATTCCCAACCAACCGTGACAAACGCCAATATGGTGTGTTCGAGTTGCTGCACTTCGACATCTGCGGGCCAATGGAACAAGTCTCGATCGGTGGCAGCAGATACTTACTGCTTGTGGTTGACGAAGCCAGCGGTTGCGTGAAGGGCTTCTGTCTGCGGTCCAAGTCTGAGAGTGAAGACTGTATCATGAACCACATTATCAAGATTCAAACTCAGTTGGAAAATCAAGTTTGTTCGGCACGATGGAGCGCGTGAGTTTGCGACCAACTCCATCAAGACCTTCTACGAAGATCATGGTATCGAACAACAGGTCACGGTGCCGTATGCACACCAGACCAACGGCACCGCAGAACGCGCGATACGGACCATCGTCACGATCGGACGCATCTTGTTGCATCATGCAAAGCTGGAGAAGTGTTTCTGGGCTGAAGCGGCAATGAAGGCGATCTACATCAAGAACCGCCTGCCTTCACCCAAGATCGACCACAAGACTCCGTTCGAGATCGTGTACAAGTCGAAACCAAGTGTCAAGCACATGCGCGTGTTTGGATGTCGGGCGTTTATCCTGACACCAAGGGAGAAGCGATTGAAGTGGGACCCGAAGGCTCGTGAAGGGATATTCATGGGCTACGAAGAAGCGTCAAAAGCTTATCGAGTGTACGACATTGAGGCGGGCCAAGTGGTGATCAGTCGTGACATCACCTTCGACGAATCGACTTTTGACTTTTCGATGGACCGACCAAGTGACGATGATGAAGATGCGCAGTTGGACCTCGACCTCCTGGCGATCAACGAGGACGACGTGCGTCAAACCGTCTACAAGCAGACTGGCAAGCGCAAGAGTGAAGCAAGACCCGGCATGTCACGTTCAGATCGCCCTCGAACTGGGTTGGAACAAGCAAGTGCGCCGGAACACGTCTCCAACCGTCACCAGAAACGACGATCAAGTGCTCCAGAAACGATGTCTGATGACGAAGAAGATGCAAGCGTCTACGATCAAGATGACGACTCGACGCCTCCAACATTTTGGCGTGCAAGTGCAAACGCAATGGAAGCAACGGACCTAGCAGAACCTGTGACTTTTCAAGACGCGATCAATGGTCCTGATCAAGCTCACTGGCGAAATGCTGTGAAGGCGGAACTCAAGTCGATGCATCTTCTCGGAGTTTTCCGTGCGGCAAAACTGCCAAGAGGCCAAGGCGCGATCGGCACCAAGTGGGTGTTCAAGATCAAGCGCAAAGCGGATGGATCGGTCGAGAAATACAAGGCGCGTCTCGTTGCCAAGGGCTTCAAGCAGAAGTACGGCATCGACTACACAGAGACGTTTTCGCCCGTGGTCAAGTACGTGACACTGCGTATGGTGATCGCGATCACCAAGTATTTCGACTGGTCACTGGACCAGCTCGATGTGGTGACAGCCTTTCTCTACGGAGTGATGAAGGAGAAGGTGTACTGCGTGATACCAGAAGGCGTCGAGATGGATGGCGACTTCGACTGTCTCGAGTTGGTGAAGGCGATCTACGGTCTCAAGCAAGCTTCACGTGTGTGGAACGAGACTTTCGACGAGTTCGTATGCTTTATCGGTTTCGAAGTGTCGGCGTTCGACCCATGTCTCTACATCAAGGTTGTCGACGGTCACTGTGTGCTCGTGCTGGTCTACGTGGATGACGTGTTGGTCACCGGCAGCTCGCTCGAGTTGATTGCGCAGACAAAGGCCGACCTCAAGACACGTTTCGAGATGACCGACAGTGGCAAGTGTACTTTGTACTGGGCATCGAACTGGTGGACGAATCGGATGGCAGCGTGACGATGTGCCAGCGACGGTATGTCAACGACATCCTCAAGCGCTTCGGCATGGATGAGTGCAAGGCCACAGCAAGTCCGGTCGACTTGAGCACTCGGCTTGTCGATAGCAGCGAAGCGGCCAAGATCGACGTTCCGTTTCGTGAAGCTGTGGGAGCTTTGATACACTTGACGACTGCGACGCGCCCGGACATTGCGTATGATGTGGGGTACGTCTCGCGCTTCATGGAGAATCCGCAGCAAGAACATTGGACGGCGGTGAAGCGCATCTTTCGTAACTTGCAAGGGACCAAGTCGCACGGACCCCACTTCCAGCCGAGCGACAAGATCGACTTTCGTGGCTACACGGACGCGGACTGGGCCGGCGACCACGCTGATCGCAAGTCGACTTCGGGTTACACTTTCATGCTGATGGGTGCTCCTGTGAGTTGGGGAAGCAAGAAGCAGTCAAGTGTGTCGCTGTCGATGAGTGAAGCGGAATACATCGCACTGAGTCTGGCCATCCAGGAAGGCAAGTGGGTGCATCGCCTGCTATGCGAGATTTTGGCGGCCGCAAACGAACCAGGACCGGACCTCGTCATCCGTGAAGACAATCAGTCGTGCATCAAGATGACAAAGAATCCGGTGCATCATGGCCGCGCCAAGCACATCGACATCAAGTACCATCACATCCGTGATGAGGTCAAGCGCAGTGAAGTGCAGCTCGAGTATTGCGAGACTTCCGTGATGATGGCGGACATCATGATCAAGGGACTTTCAAGACCTCGCCACAAGGACTTGACGACGGCTCTCGGCATTCGTGCGAGTTCGGATTGAGGGGGCGTGTTGACGGTCATCGGTTTTCTACCAGTATTGGTAACCGTGACCGGTCCAATCCGAACCGCCTGTTCAGCTTAGTATTTACGACGTAGTTCTTACGGTAATTACCATAATTGATTAGACGCGTAGGATGGTGAGACGCTTTTCATATTTTTTTTTTTCTCCAAAAATATATATTAATTAAAAAGAACCGATTATAAATACTCACATCTCTCTCCTCTCTCCCCCCCCCCCCCTCTCCTCTCTTTCCTCCTTCTTCGCGTCCCCCCCCCCTCTCTCCCCTCCTCCTACCCCCCTTCCCACACAACCACTCCTCTTTAAATTCTTTTTTTTTTCTTTGGTTCGGGGGGGTGGGGGGGGGGAGGAGTTGAGGGTGTGGAGGGTTGGTTTGTCGGGGTTTTTGTTGTGTTTTGTTTTTTTTTCTTCCCTCCTTCCCTCCCCCCCCCCCTGATGAACTTTAGACTTCTTGGTCCGAGTGCAAAACGCAAAGTGAATATATATTTATAATAGGTACTTAGTTCGCAACTTTGAATACTACCTCTAAGCCTATTATTCGCAGTGACTTCATCCAGTGACGTCACCCACTGACGTCACCCACTGACGTCATGCAATGACGTCATCCAGTGACGTCATTTCCTGACTTCGCCCTTACTGGTACATACCGGTACCCACCGGTATAGCGAAGCTTGGTCTTCCACTTGCTTCAACACTTGACGCAGCTTGACGAGGTGTCTTCTTCACAGCCGCTGTCTTTTCAACACTCCCTCTCGACTCGTTAGCTGCGGCACCTTGGATCCCAAGTCGATCGCGAATGTTTTCAAATTGTACAGCGGCGATCGGCTTGGTCATCATGTCTGCCAGCATATCTTGAGTCGGGCAATACTCCAAAACGACTTCACCTGATTCCACCTTCTCACGCACAAAATGGTAGCGTATGTCGATGTGTTTTGTTCTCTTATGGAACTCCGGGTTCTTGGCGAGAGCGATTGATCCTTGGTTGTCTTCATACATCTTGATCGCTTCGTCGCTTGTCATCTCACCAAGTTCCCCCAAAAGCACTTTGAGCCATACTGCTTCTTTGGTTGCTTCGGAAAGCGCCATGTATTCTGCTTCTGTTGAAGATAGCGCGACCGTCCGTTGTTTCTGGCTTTTTCCAGCTGATGCATCCTCCGCTCATCATGAACACATAGCCGCTTGTACTTCGTCTTGACTCAATGTCGCCGGCCCAGTCTGCGTCGGTGTACCCGCAGATACGGCTTCCTTCTTCACGTGTAAACTCAAGACCATGATTGGGCGTTGCTTGCAGGTATCTCAGCACACGCTTCAAAGCTTGCCAGTGAGTCGGGCATGGGTCGGACGAGAACTGGGATAATGATCCCACTGCAGCAGCTAGATCCGGACGTGTGGCGACCATGAGATACATGATGCCTCCGACAGCACTTCGATATGGCACGTTGCACATGGTGTCTTCGTGCTTGCATTCTTGTTCACACATGTTCTTGGTTAGCTTCAGGCCGGGATCTTGAGGCGTCTTCACTGGCTTGCTGTTATCCATTCCGAACTTGGTTAACACGGACTTGAGAAACTTGGTTTGTTGTACGGTCACCATTCCCGTCTTACGGTCGTTCTTGATCTCCATGCCGAGAAAGTAATCGAGGCTCACCGAGATCCGTCATTTCGAAGCGTTTGCTCAGCGCCATCTTGGTTGACTTGAGGAGTTCGTTGTTGCTGCTGGCCAGGATGAGATCATCGACGTAGAGCACCACGAGAATCATGTCTTGGTCGTCTCGCTTGATGTAGATGCAGTGGTCCGATTCGCACTTCTTGAATCCCATCTTGATCATGAACCCATCGATTGTTTGGTTCCACATGCGAGGCGATTGCTTCAAGCCGTAGAGTGATCTCTTTAGCTTGCACACATAGTCCGGCTGTGTTGCATCCAGGTATCCGTCCGGCTGGTCCATGTAGATGTCTTCGTTGAGGGAGCCGTTAAGAAACGCTGTCTTGACGTCCATCTGATGTAGCATTAGGCCGTACTTAGCCGCCATACTGAGCACCACACGAATCGATGTGAACTTGGCCACCGGTGCGAAAGTTTCTTCATAGTCAACTCCGAATTCCTGTGAGAATCCTTTGGCCACAAGTCTTGCCTTGAAACGTTCAACTTCGCCATCTTGATTCTCCTTTACACGAAAAACCCATCGGCACCCGATGGCCTTGCGACCTTTCGGAAGAGGCACGATTTCCCACGTGTCGTTTCTCTGAAGCGAGTCGAACTCCGAGTCACACGCTTCTTTCCACTTGCCGGAGTCGCTTGATTCCATCGCCGACTTGAATGTAGTCGGCGTTTCCCCCACTGAATCAACGATGTAGGCTGCTTCAAAATCCATTGCAGCCGCTGACACATGCTCAAGCGACGGACCTCTGTATGTTCTTCGCTTGGGACTTGGAATGACGGTAGCTTTCTCAAGTGATTGAGTGCGCGTGTGTCTCTTGATGTTGCTCTTCGAAGACCTGGTGTCTTCGTTGTCATCGTCGCTCGAGTCCATGTCGTCGTCAGTTTTACCTTCTTCTTTTTCTTCGTCCTCATCATGATCATCAAACTCAACGACACTTGACTCATCGTTGTAGTTGCGCGGACCTTCATCAAACTTGTCTTCCATGAATGTGGCATCGCGACTGATCTTGATCGCTCCTGTTGACACTTCCTCAAATCGATATGACTTCTGGTGTTCGGCGTATCCCAGGAAACGACAGAGTGATGACTTGGAGTCGAACTTCGCGCGTTTGTCTTGAGGCACTTGAACATACGCGTGGCATCCAAACACTTTAAGGTTGGCCAGAATCGGTTTCTTCATCGTCCACACTTGATATGGAGACTTGTCTTGGTGAATGGCACGTGTTGGACAGCGGTTTCGAAGAAACATCGCCGTCATCACTGCTTCACCCCAGTAGCTCTTTCCCAGTCCAGCGTGTTCCATCATGCAACGCGCACACTCGACCAGCGTGCGATTCATTCTCTCAGCTACTCCGTTTAGCTGAGGAGTATATGGGGGTGTGAACCTTTGTTGTATTCCCCGTTCCGCGCAGAATCGTGCCAGCTTGTCGGACTTGTATTCACCCCCATTGTCGCTTTGAAGGTACTTCACGCGCTTTCCGGTTTGCGTTTCGGCCATCGCAGCGTATTCCATGAACTTCGCCGCAACTTCAGATTTGCTCTTGAGCAGATAGACGACACAGTATCTTGACTTGTCATCAATGAATGTCACGAAGTACCGTTTTCCACTGAAAGTTGCCATCGACATCGGTCCGCATACGTCGCTGTGAATCACTTCGAGGAGTTTGGAGGTGCGAGCTGTAGTGTTTGATTGGAAGCGCACTCGAGTCTGTTTTCCCAGAGCACAACCTTCACACACGTCCCACTTCTTCACCGAAGATATGTCGATGCCAATTCCAATGTTCTTCGTCACGATGCAATTGAGTCCATCGTGACCTATGTGGCCAAGCCGAAGGTGCCAGAGGTACGACTTGGTGCCCCCTTGACATCCCGACGACTTGGCTGCATTTGCTTGTTCCGGCGCCACTGGAGTCATTTGCAGCTTGAACAGTCCTTTACCTTCACGGGCACCAATTTTCCACTTGGTCCCTTTCGCTTCTCCATAGCACCCATCCTTCGTGAACGTCACTGGGCCGACATCCTTGATGAAGCGGCCGACCGAGAACAGGTTTCTGGATAACTTTGGGATGTGCCACACGTTTGTGAGCACACCTTTCTTCATCCCTTGGGGTGTCTTCATCGACATGACAATGTCCCCACTGCCGATTGCTTGGACGATTCTATCATCCGCGAGATGGACATCCACAGCGTCAAACCCCTTGTAGTTCCGCATGAACTTCTTGGAGCACGTCATGTGCTGCGTCGCCCCGGAGTCGACCAGCCAGATGTCGCTCGATTTCGCAGATGTCGTTTCACCGATCGAAAAGAGGTAGTCGCCCGAGTCTTCTTCTTGAGCGACGTTTGCACGTTGTGATCGATAGCGGTCGCCGCTGTCTTGAGCACGCTGTGGCCGGTGTCTCTCCGTGTTTTCTTGGATGCGCGAGGGGCACTCCGCCATCCAATGACCAATCTTTCCGCAATTGTGGCACGGCCAGGACTTCTTCACTGGTCGCCCTTTGCGCTGATTG